CGGGAGCGGGGCGACGGTTGCCGGGTGAAGTTGCCTGATACAGGCATTGGGCTGTCTAGTGGGAGGAGTTATGCAAATATCACGATGCCTTGATAGGTGGGTGTCAGTCTGGAAGTGGGCGTTCCTAGGCAGGGTAAATTTGCATGCAGACCGCCCCCTAGGTAACGCCCACAAGTGCTGCTGAGCCTCTATGATTGACAGAACTGAAATCCAATAAATGAAAGGGGCGGAACCAGGGACAGTCGGGCTGGGAAGGAAAGGGCCAGATGATGTGCCCAGAGTTCATTTTCAGGGTACTGCACAGCGCGGCCTTCAGAACAATGTAAGAGGCTTATTCCTGATAGCTGGGATGAGTAGGTTAGGTCGGACTTCGGAGCTGCAGATAACAATAATGATGTGTGACTTCAAATTCTGATGACGTCACGTGACCTTTCATTGTTCGGGATTAAAGTGTCAGGAATCGTTTATCAGGGCACACCCGGTGTCACTCCCCTCGGGGTCACCAGTCTGGTCTATCTGCAGATAAAACGCGGACTCTGATCTACCTCACCACAGATAACCGCTCACCCGATTGCACCATCACCTCAATGACCTCCTGTGACACTCCATGGCTTGAGGAGGGGGACTGGCAGTCACTCAAGGAGTGCCCGTCTCAGTCTCCTTGGTAACCAACCAAATCAGGGGGGACTAATATGCGTGCGCTTTCAGATCGAGCGGAACGTAATTAGCGTCGCACACACTGTGGTCCGGGTGGCCGCCACACGCAAGATGTCCGCCCTGCTCTGCTAATCAGGTGCTCCAGACGGCGCTCCTTGATTGGGTGAAGAGAGATGAGACGAGGGGGCGGAGCCAAGCGGAGGACATACAGGGAAGAGAGGCGCATGTGGTTGCAGTGTCACCGGAGAGACTGACGTGAGACATTGAACCTGTTCCCGCTCCGCCCATAGCAAGGATGTCCCAGGTAGCGTCTATATGATTATTTATATATGTTCTCTCATTGTATATTATTAACGCTCCACCCACAACCAGCATCTCCCAGCTACTGTCTGTAACATTATTATTATTATA